TTTTTTTAAAAAGGAGCTCCGATTGTAAAGTAAAATAAATCAATACATTCAAAATTTTAGTATGGATTACAAACGTTTACTGTTTTTGCTATTGCCTTGCTGCTACGTAAGCAGACACAAAGCATTAWGGTAAATCAGAACRGTGGCCCAAAGCAACAGTCAGCAAGGACCTTTCCAATAAYTGTGTTTATCTGGGAGGGGTGTTGTTGGATAGATCATGTGTGTTGTGATTCATTGACAGCCARACCTTCTGCTGTTCAAGATAATGATGACTGGTAGATAATTAGTTATTAGCAGTACTGCATTTTAATTTTAGAAAGCACAAATCCACTTATGAATTATAAAAATTAGTAAGACCGCTAAAGCGCAAAGGAAATATTTAGGTCCGCAATTAGCGGATTTMCGCWTTAGCGGGCTGGTGCCCACCACTGCCTGGTTGAGACCACCTGCTTCTCACCTGATGAGCTCCTGCAGGATGTCCACCCGCCCCACCCTCGCCGCGTGGTACAGCGGGGTGCTGCGGTGGTGCCGGCTCCCGTTGGGGTCGGCTCCGGCTTCCAGGAGGATCCGAACGCAGTCCAGGTGACCGTTGACCCCCGCCACGTACAGAGCCGTCTGACCTTTGACGTCCACCAGGTCCACGTCGGCTCCCTGGGCGATCAGGTAGGCCACGCAGGCAGCGTGCCCGGCAGTGGCCGCGATCCGCAGCGGCGTGCAGGGCAGACAGCCGCAGCACCACACCGACTTCTCATTAATACGCCTGAAAACGAGAAAGAAAGAAGATCTGAGCTTTGGATCTGTTGTGTTAAGATTTAGGTTTTTAAGGAAGGAAATTATCTTAAGCTGAGTTGAAAAAAATGTCTGCAACAAGTTATTGAGCTTTAAAAGCTGCCTCGGTGTTATTATTAACCCGCCCCACCGTCTGAAGCTGTCCTCCTGCAGCAGGTTCCTCAGCGTGTCCATGTCCCCCACGTAAGCTGCGTTGTGGAGCCGCATGTCGTCCTGCTCCTGAGGTTTGTCACAGAACTGCTCCTGGAACCATTCCTTCAGGTTCCGACCTGATGCACACGTACATGCAGGAAACTCTAATTCCTCAGTACACATGTAGAAATACTTGGGCTGTGATTAATTTTAGTGCTTCCTGGGCATAGATTAAAAATTTTAATCGCAATTAAAATTTACATATAGGTTTGCATATTTCAGTGCAGTCAGTGCATGCCAGGTCATGTTTGTAAATGAGAAGCAGTTCTCAAATAGTTTACCTGGATAAATAAAGGTTAAATAAATAATATATATTTTTTAAAACTCCATGTGTAACACATTATGTACATACCATTTTTATTTCTTTTTGTCTTCCTATGGCTTATTTTATTTTATTTATTTAAGTTTTGCTGACAACTGTGACCTTAGTATATATCTTTCATTCCTCGTGTAGTACTATAGTAGTAGTATGTAGTAGTAATAGCTCAAGTAATTTATTTTACCAATATGCAATAAAGTTTTATACTAAGTTTAAGATTAATCATGATTAATTGTGATTAATTCGCAGCTACCTTGGAATTAATAGATTAAAAATGTTAATCGTTTGACTGCCCTAATAAATACATCTGTATACAGAGGGCAGCTGGGTCTTAGTCGGGACATAAATCACGTTGGTTCTGCCTCTGATTGTATGAACATTAAACTGAACAAGAACTTACTGCTGAATAAATTAAACTTTTTTAGAAAGAAATTAAAGATTCCTCTAAACTGATGGCATTTTATTGAATCTACAGTTTATCAACAAGGGGTGTGGGTGAGTTAACACGAACTTTTTAATAAAATAATTAACATTTTTAAATATGGATCAAACATAAAGTGTTAATTTGTCATTTTGTTTGTGTATTTTCAAAGAATTAGAATGCATTTATAATCGCAAAACTGTGACTTTGTAGAATTCATTTGGATTTTCTATAATGACAGGATGCAAATGTACATTTAAATGACGTGCTTTACATATTTGTGGCCGCACACAGTTGCAGAAATGATCCCTCCACTTCCGTGTTCAAACCTGACAGGTTTGTTCTCATGTTTTACAACACGTTACACATTACAGCCTAATATTTACCCTCAGTTATATTCACATGCTCCTTTTGTTTTRGCTTTTGGATTCTGTTAAGCTCCAGTAAGAGCCTTTGGGATCTYTGAAAGCCCATTTCTGCCACTTGGATTAAAAAAGTAAAATCTCCGTTATAATTATGGGACACTTATGACRAGGGTGTTGTCATATTTATCGAGATAATAATGAGATAATTTTAAAAAATAGGTAGTATTTTGAAGTATGAGAGGCTAAATCAGTGTTTCCCAAAGTTGGGGTCAGGACCCAAAGTGGGGTCCCGAAACATCAAGGTGGGGTCCTGAAAGG